TATATATATATATATATATATATATGGCATGGAATCGAGCTTTGTGACCGAGAAGTCGTCTCGGCTTTCTCGCCCACGTATGACTCTCGATTCTTCACAAAGGTGTCATTTCCGCCGGAATTCGGAATCGGAAAAGCAAACCACCGCCGATCGTAAGACATCGTTGTTCCGTGTTGTCCGATAACAGAGTTTTCAAGTATATATCGCGAAAAGAAAAAAAAACTAATGTAGGAAAAAATATGAAATGTAAAAATATAGAAATATCTATAGAAAATGTAGAAAAAATTCTCCGAAATTTATTTCGTTTGTCAAGAATAATTTGCGACATTAATAATTTATTTAATAATAATAAATTAAACTTAAAAGAGAAGGTTAAAAAAAGGGAAGAAAAAAATTTTTAAGGCACATTATTTCTTTTTTTTATATAAAGTACATCCTATAAGTTACATTGAAATAAACTGTTTTTATGAAATTGTTAATAGTTTTTAATCACTGTTTGCAAAATGTATCATTATGTATCTGTTTTATTATCTTTTATTCGGTATTTGCTTTTACATCAGAGGATTTTTCCGATCAAGAAAAAGAAAAGGAACATAAAAACAATTAATGCAAAGTGCATTCGGCAAAAAGATGTCAAAATGAACGTCGCTTTTATAGCGTTGTGAACAATAGAATGTGTGTATATTTATAAATATTAAATAAATATCATACACATGAAGTGAGATTTGACAGTCTAAATAAAAATCAATACTTTCATTTTCAAACAATACCATTTATTCCGGTTGTCATTTTTATTAGGAGAATGTTCATGGAGTATTGAGTCCTATTGTATACCTTACACTATAGTATTAATAGAAATGAATAATTATACGGATGTCACCCAAATAAATAATCTGTCATGCAAATGGTTGCGACATTAACAAATTGTAATAATAATATTCCTTGACATTTTATAACATGTTAAAAATACGCGTAAATAATGTTAGATATTTATATTTATATATGTATCTACATTTAAATATATTTTTGTCCACATGTTTAATATTATTTGTGAAGAATATTGAATACGTATATTAAAATAAAATATAAATAAAAAAGAAATATATAACATATAACGTATAAAATGTAACATAAAATATTTGTTACATATATTAGAGACTATTGAAAAATATTAGAAAGTCTGTTTTCTTCCGGAATGATTAAATTTTTCAAAGATCCAACCAATCCTAAATTGACTCGCAAGATATAAATCTGTGCTATCCTTATTTTAAAACGGTTCCCTCGCAATTCCTCACAAATTCCTTAAACATTTCCCAATGCAACTTCCGCTCTGCCGAACTCGGAAACGCGCGACTTCCGGTCCATAGCTATCTATAGTGAAAACTTGTGCAGAGAGAGATCGGTGGAACGAAACTTTTGCGTTTCAACAAATGTTAGAAAGAAGAAGAAGAGAGTCACGCGCCGATGGATCTCGCGGAACTTTGGGCTTACCGAAATTAAATGTCGAGTTCAGAAATGTCTCGGAAACTCGGCGCGTGTAACATCGAGTTTGGATGAAGTCTGATGGCGCGATCGACCGACCAAACGGATCGGACATGATTTCGCGAGAGATCGGTCGGCAGCGAGACGACCGACACAATGGTTCACGAGATGGTCCGTCTCGTGCCAGAATTGAATATTCGAAAATTTCAACTTTGTGCCAGTTTGAAAATTACAAGCTGGAAGTAAGCTGACTTGTATATATTCTTAACTTGTTATTTTCTCTTTTTCTGCCTTTCCAGCAAAAAAATTGAAAAGTTAGGTAGCAAGGCCGATTCGTTATCCCGATTCGATACGAAGACACGAATACTCGCATATCGAGCCGTGCGTGGGCGAATTTACACGTGTCATCAATCCGATAACAACACGCGATAACGTCAAAAAGCGCGCTCTCGAGCGAAGGAAAATTTTCGAAACTTATTACCGGCGCGATGAGAAACTAAATCGAGAATTAGGTCAGTGGCGAGGTTGCACCGTATCGAGATTGTACCGAGAGATCGGCGGATCTCTTCTCGAGTCGACTCGCATGCATTTCGCGTTCGTGGGCGAAAACGCAAATTGGCAGACGATAACAGCCGCCAGTGACGGTTTCAAGAGATTATTATGCACTGGGATTCTATCCATCGTATACTCGTGCGAATGAACAAACCTAATCTGACGGGATAATACGAAACGCGGCAATCGCGGTGACGGCAACAAGCCGAGAGAATTAATAAGGAATTAACGCGTGAATATTTCCCCTCCCCCACTCCCCCCCTCTCCCTCCCGCAGCGGGATACGCCGATACGCGTCTACCCCCCCACGTGAGTGTTACGTAGTTACGCTATTAGTAAATGTCGTGTCTGTGCTACCCCACGTCATTCGTCATTTCATGATTGAGCGAACGACGAAGGACAATCCGAGAAAGAAAATGCTCGAGGTTGCATCGCTAAAATTACATTTACACGCCGGACAAAGGACACGCCGTCGACTGTCGTGACGCGCCTCTTCCCTGCGACAGCTTAATTGAAAGTGCTTCGCACGTGGCCGTTTTGAACGCGTGAACGCGTCCGTTTTTTTTATACGCGGACGCAGCCTCGCGACGAGAGTGTCCTTTAGCCACGTAACAAATATAATGTCAGATATATTAATGTTATTGTCAGTCAGCGATAGTCAGTTTCACGCGGTGCCTCTGAATAATCTGTCTTTCAATAAAATTTTTTGAATTTTAATTTCAACGCCCGATATTTTATTATTGCTCGTATCTTTTGACAGGCTCGACGTTGAAACTATTAAACGAACGTGAAATATCGCGAACTCGTGTCTCTTTTGTGTTTATCCGCAAATATTTGCCGATGAAATTTCAATGCTGTAAAAATATTATAGTCTATAAATACATACGCATTTAACTTTATTCATTTCTATTTCCATTTCGAAATCTGATTTTAGGGAAACCATTCGATGACGCGTATAAAATCCTATATATATATATATATATATATATATATTATGTTACTAATACAGCTTCTTGAACCTTATCGGATTATTGCAGAAATAATAATAATAATGGGAACTTTTAGAGCGCTTATAAAATCAATGCATTAAAAGCGCGGTTCATTAAAATCGGATTTGCAATTGCACTTTTCAAGGCAAATATCAATATGTACGCCATAGCGTACATAAGGTGCAAGCTTGGAAGGAAGCCCGCTAATAAGCGTCGGCCGTCGGTAACATTCGTATTCGGGGGGCTTAAATCTAATCCCAAGGACGCGACGGGGCCGATAGGCATAGTTCCGTCCCGGGAGCGCAGCTCGCGTATGCAGAGCACGTATAATGGAATACCGACGGGGGTTTCGATCGGAGCCAATTACCGATGCAATCGAACGGATGCACGGCACAGCAGCAACCCGGCAACCCAGTAAACTTAACCGCAGGATTTAACGAGCGCGGTCGCGGGCGGGCGCGCGCGCGCGCGCGGACTGCGTTTAAGGCGAATCCATTCGAGGCGAGTCTTCGTTTTCGTCTCGAAAATTGCCTTTGTCGTTTTATTCGAATTCGGAACGAGGAGGGAGATGGGATTGCCCGTGGGAGATCGAATTTCCATCGTTTCCCCAACGTTTCCTCCTCCCCTCGTGAAACCTATCTCTATGTGGATAAAAAGTCACACGCTCGGGAAGCTGAAGGAAAATATTGTGCAGCTACTCACCCGTCCGCCGTGTTGTGCGTCAGGAAGGACTTGGGCAGCGACAAGGATCGTTGATGAGGATCCAGGACGACGTCGCCTGTGAGCGAGTCTTCACCTCGGGTGGGCGCGCTACCGGGCCTAGACAGCGTGCCGTCCTTCGGCGGTTCTATCAATCTGTCCATCTTGAGCGAACCGATCACGGCGTCCTCCATCGGCGTGGATGCGCCGGAACTCTTTGCATTCCGCGGGCTCTTCGTCACCGTGCGATCCGACGTGGTGATCCAGATATCGCTGCTCGAGGACGACGAGGTGGTCGTCGACGAGGAGACGATTTGACCGCTGCTGGGCGATCTACTGACGACATTCATCCCTTGGATGGGCGACACTCTTTTGTCCTTGTTGTCGGCGCCCTCGAAGGATCCCGGAAAATCAGGCTTCCGGTACACTCGGTGGTGCATGATCTGATCTCTCTTCTCCGCTCCGGAGCCTACTTTATATTTATAGACAAGGTTAATACACGAGGTGATTCAACATAAATTATCTCGTTATTAAATAATAAATATTAATATCTAGATATTAATATTTTTCTAAAAAGAAAAAAAATAATAAATAAATAAAGAACAATATTGTCAATTTGAAATAAAAAAAGCTGAAAGTTTAATTCAAAAAAGATAAATTTTTTAATAATCAAATTATTACGGATACCATTTCCGTTGGTTCCCTCCAACGGTGACCATCTATTGGCCTGCTTGAGCACGCTCTTGGGTCTCTCTTGATACTTGCCCTGCTGGCTGCTTCTGCTCTTTCTCGAATTGTCCCGCTCGCGGAGCTCCCGATCGTCCATCCGCTCGAGGGAAGCCGGCGAAGAACTTGCGCTTCCACGATGACTACCAGCGTCGGTGGAGAGTCTCTGATGTGCCGGATAACTCTGCGACAGCTTCATAAAGACCGGCGGCGGTGCCTGATTTGGTGAGTACAGCGTTTCTCTTTGCGAGCAGTGAGGCCAAAAATCGCATGTGCTGCTGTTGCAGCGCAACTTCGTGTCCGGGCTCATGCAAAAATCCTGATTGACAGACGGCACGTTCGCGTTTGGCGTCGTTGCTCCTCTCTGCAACGTTCGCGGCCGTCTTGATTGCTGCTGCTGTTGCTGTTGCTGCGACTGTTGCTGCTGTTGCTGCTGCTGCTGCTGCTGCTGCTGCTGCTGGGATTGCGAAGAATTTGATGCTTTCGACGATTGCTGTTGCTGCTGCTGCTGTTGCTGCTTGGAAGATATGATGTAGACGTCGTATGTGTTGGAATTGCCTCGCCTCTGTTCTTGGTTTTCTTGGTCGCGACGCTCATAACGGCTCGACAACATATTTCTAGGTACGACACGACTACGCGTGCCATATAGATATTCAGTCACCATTTCCGTTTCACGGAAAAGATTATCGTTTATAGTATCGTCGGTGGACTGAGCCTTTCCTAAAAAAAAAATGTGAAAAAAATCATGACATGGGAATGAGAGTGATTGGATTATCGATGAGAGTGATAACATCTTCTTTTTTGTTTAATTCTTTAAATAGATTTTACATAATAAACATTTTATCTGCTATCTTAATTTTTTTAAAGATGTTACAATTCTTTTATGTTTCATAAAATCTATATTTTCTTACTTCTTTTTCTTTTATTTTTTGTAAACTCTTCGTTCTTCACAAAAATTTACAAGACTTTGCGCACGTAATCTTGTACGTAATCTTTATTCTGTGAAATTCTGTAAAAAAAAAAAAAATAGGTAGATGTATGTATTATATGCAAAATACAATAATAAATTTCGCAAAAGTAAGAATGGTTCATCGGCTATATAAATGTTTCTTGCACATAATCGTTACTCCATCACGAGACATACATAAATTTTATAAAAGACACTCTTGCGAACATCTATTCTCGGCGTTGTAAAATATTCGTGTGCAACAGCGAAAGTTGGCCACACGAGTTACTCGAGGTACTCATGCGGCGGTACTCACTGTTCTGAAGAACGTGGCGCTTGGACCTGTCGCTTCCCCGATCATTTACAATCTTCACAACGACTCTATGCGCCTCGTTCGACTCTCGCGAATGATCTCTCTGCGGGCCGGCCGTTCCTGGCGACCTTTTCTCCGGCAATTGGAGACTCCTGGATCTTCTAACCCGAGATTGATGAGAATCGGGCGACACCTGATTGGTCCTGGCGCTCTGGTGCTGTCGCGTGGGGTTGCCGCGTCTGAATGGATTAGGCGTGGGTGACCGCCCTTGTCGTCCCTCGCTGCTGGACGAGGACGACGACGAGGAGGGTGAATTGAACATCTGTTTTCCCGACTCGGAGGATCCGGGCGATCTTCTGAGTCCCTGTTGGCTTCTGTGGATTCTCCTGAATATAAGCACTTAGGTGTTTCTTCACTTTCGAACAACATCGCGAAATATTTCGATACGTGCAATTTTAAATTAGTTCCCTTGTTTAAACATATATGAATTTAAGTAGGAATAAAAAGATGCAAGAGATATTTCCCCGAAACGTTTCGCCGTCGTGCAAAAGATCACTCTTGATGAGATAATTGCAACCTTTATTTTTATGTTAAACTTTTATGAAAATTTTATTAGTTTTCATATGCATACCCTTGCCTATTGGGCGAGATTCGTTCGCCGTTGGCACGAATCGATTCTGTGGATGAGTTCAACGCAAGAGCTGATGACGACACCAGGCTGAGATTTAAGGATGAGCTGGGATTATCATCCTCATCGCCATCTTCATATCTAGCACATACATCGAAACATCGATATTTTTTGTATGTTTTTAAGTTTCTTTTAATTTTATTGATATCGTATCAATTCGCATATTTAATGTGCAATAGAATGAATAAATGAATAAATTAAATAATTAAAATAAAATAATGACAGACAATATAGTAATGAAAGAAAATATCAATCTTTTCATTTATTTATTTCTACTGTAATGCAGATCAATTCTAATTATCAAAATAATAAACAGATATATTAATATATAATATATTATTAATTATAATATATATATATATATATATATATATCGAGTAAATTAAATCCTCGATAAAATCAAATTGACCAACAAAATTTGTTCTTGATTACAATCAGAAAATTTTTCACATACCCTTCTACCGAAGAATCCGTGTTCTCCGCCAGACTAGGCATAACGGATTTTGTGACGCAGCTGTCGAGGCTTCTGAATCCCATCGACGACGACGACGAGCTGGACGATTCAAGGTATCTCTGCGCAAACTGTGATCTTCTAGAGGACGATTGATCCTCCAGAGACTTGGCTTGAGCCATGCGATACTGCTGCTGCTGTTGCTGCTGCTGCTGTTGCTGTTGCTGCTGCTGCTGCTGCTGCTGCTGGCTCGCGTTCTGTCTTTTCGATCTGGAGGACGGCCAAGCTGGAATTTTTCTAGACGCGGACGGCAGAGAGCTCCAGTTAACCTGATGAGCCGGCGGCGACGGTGGCGGACTGATGATATCGCTATCAACGATGGCGTTCGATCGTGGCAGGAAGGGCGCCTTGCTGCCGTAGTTGCTGCGCGCAGCAACGGAGGAAGACGAGTGTCTGGCGGAAGATGATTTTCTGCCGGCGACAGCATCCTGGAACGCCGGCGGCGGCGATATGATTGGCGTGATCGACGGCGGCGAGAAGGATTCCGGGATGCTGTGCGGCGACGTGCAGGCGCTGGTCGTGATGGAGTCGAAGTCCTGGCTGTGCAGCGCAAGGAAGTCCGGTCGCTGCGAGTCCAAACCCCCCCTGCTAAAATCTTGCGGACACTTGCCCGGCTCGCTGTTGCAGTGATAATCCGCCAGCTTAACCGCCGCCCGTCGTGACAACGGCAGGGTACCGGTGGTCGCGCTCACCAGGCAGGTGCTCTCGTAATTCGCACGGCGATTCTCGTCGAGAGATCGCTGCTGCACCTGGACCCAGCCGGAACGGCCGAGATAGACGCCGTCGACCTCGCGATCGCACCATCGCACGGGTGATAATTCGCGGCTGCAATTACCGCTGATAAACAGCTCGCCAGAAGTGCCGCTGTTGCCCGACAAGAAGGAGTTTATGGCATCGCGCCGCCGGGAACTAGAGGAGATCTGTACACGAAAGAATTCCTGTCGCTGACAAACAAAATCGTCATTCCCGTTTTCTACTTCTCTCATATATTCTTTTCTATTATGATTCATTTATATTTGTAATATTTGTTACTTCATGATGATTGAAATTTGGAGATAGAGCGACAAATATTATTAAGATTTAATTTTGGAAAAAAGAATAATAGCTTACATCAAGAGATTGGAAGAGGTTAGAGCGCCCATTATTTTCCTCTTGGTCCTCTTTATGATATTTCAAGTAAATGAAATATGATTATAGGATAAATCATACAGAACTATTTCTATTTAAATATTAATCAATGTTAATCATGATTTAAGTGATTCTCTTGTTAAGGATGCTCGGAGAGGCTAAGGAACGTAATTAACGTAAATTAACGTAAATTATCATTTATCGCGGCTATTCGTGGGATTGTCCTTTAATGAACTTTCTCATAAATTCAACCCCTATTTCCGATCTTGCTTGATGAACGGGCAAGAAGATGCTAGTTTGTAACGCGTCTCTGCGATCTCGACTCACCTGGCCATGGCTGTCTTGGCGATGTTGCTTGAGGCTCGACGTCGACGTGGATGTATCGTGACGTTTCAGGGATGGTATCGAACTGCCGCGGCTGTAGGATCCGCGCGTGTTCCCGCCGGATTTTCCTCTGCCGCTCGCTGTCTGACTCTTGTTGCTGCCGACGCTGTACGAGGAGCCCTGAGACCCGACCTCCCAAGGGTCCGCCGACGCGTTGCGGAGATGGAGGATCGACACATTTGGGCCTCTGCAATCGAAATGTTTCCCCCCCCCCCCTTTGAGATCGACTCGAAATGCCGAGAATAATCATCCTTCCCAATACCGTACATACCGAACATTCATCTTATTCTTCAAATAAGATTTCATATTGATGTCGAACTAACTCGTCGGTTGAATGGCGCGTCAAGTATAGAAGTTTCTTTTTAAATTTGGTTAGCAAACTATTGTGTACATATACAATTTATGTACATATACAAGGTGTCTCTTTTTCAATCAATCCACTGGAATATTTCAGAACTCTTAAATTTAAGACAAAAATATTTTAGATAAAAGTGTAGGAAAGTGAAGGAAGTGATTATGATTCATTCGCAGATGGCACCATTGTCGAGATTTTTTTATGTTGTCGTTATTTTTTTTAAATGGAATCATATATTTTTTATTACGTAATATTATTCCTCTAATCATTCTGGATGTAAAAGTATTAAGGTATAAATATCAAAAAGTCAAAGTTCACAAGATACTTTATACTTTATACTCTAACATATAATATAAAATATCTCCTAGATTATTAATTTTTTGTTAATGGTACGTAATATTATAACTGTTGTGTATTTATGTATATTTATGTACATATACAAGGTATCTCTTTTTCAATCAATTCACTGAAATAGAATATTTTAGAATCCTTAAATTTAAAACAAAAATGTTTTAGATAAAAGTGTAGGAAGTGAAGAAAGCTACGTGATTATGATATGATTCATTCGCAAATGGCACCATTGTCGAGATTTTTATGGTCGCCATTTTTTAAAATGAAATCATATATTTTTATTACGTAATATTATTCCTCTAATCATTCTGGATGTAAAAGTATTAAGGTATAAATATCAAAAAGTCAAAGTTCACAAGATACTTTATACTTTATACTCTAACATATAATATAAAATATCTCCTAGATTATTAATTTTTTGTTAATGGTACGTTAATGGTACCTTTTATATATAAAATAATGAGACAAATATTCCTATGGATTAAAATAGGACGTGCTGTACATAATATAATGATTATATTTAAAGGAGTCAAACTAATTTGATTTTCTAGATCTTCATTCAATTAAAAAGAAAAAGACTCGTAGTTTTTTGTTTTTTTTTTTTCATGCGTTACAAGTAGTTGCGTATCGTGTAATTTATTTAATTGACTTTATTTTAATGTATTTAATAAATTTGGTAAAATTGCACTTTCTCCTCGACGATTCCGTACTTTATTCCCCTTGAGATCGATCGGATTAAAGTTATATAAAAGTGTCTTCTTTCGCAGAGGTGCATAAACTCACGCCCCTGTTTTCACTACTTTTTTGATTTGCTATCACCGAACCCAGAATTCCGCTTTTGCTTCGTCGCAAGAGGAAATCGACTCGCGGTGCACTTTAGCATCTCCGGGGATTTTACGCGACAGTCGGAAGCCTCTCGCTTCCGCCGACGTCTTTAAGTGAGATAGATGCGCACGTTTTTTGCTTGTATACGTTCCCACATCCACTTCTTCCTCTTCTGGCTATTTTTGTTAGTTCTTTCTGCTATTCGATTTTATATACATATATATATATATATCAACTATTCTATGATAGTAATATTTATATAACGTATGTATTGTTGACTAATAAAGAAGCGAAGTAAGGAAGAGAGAGAGAGAGAGAGAGAGAGAGAGAGAGAGAGAGAGAGAGAGAGAGAATGGGAAATGGGCGAAGAGTTAGTAAAGATGTTCGGATTGCACCTGTGTGCCGCTTAACAATGTGTAGTAGACGTATGAAAGTCAAATATCCAGATAGATAGTCTTTCTCAAGAGTAGATGCAAATCTCTTCGCGGACAAATGTATCCTCGGCTATACCTCTTATCTTCGTATTTCTCATTTCAGATCCTCCCCGTTCTCTGTTCGCCTTTCGAAAATGAAAATTCACACAGATCACTCAATAAAGATGTTACATCCCGTAATGTGCGACATGACGAAATTTCTCTAAGGAATATTGGAAAAGTTGCGTCTTAAAAATGAATAAGAAATACGCGCGTACGTCGCGCGAGTGTCGAACTATTATTGTATGAATTTTTTTCTGTGAAACAGATTAAAATCAAGTATAAGCGGGTGAACCGAAAGGTATATGATCGATATTTTCGTCATATGGTCGGGACGAAGTTCATAGTTGCCTCGGAGATTCAATCGTCTTTGCCGCCTGTCGTGATTAGCGCGCGATCAAAGAAGTCAGAGAAGATGAGAAAGACTTTTGCGAAAATGAAATTCTCCGGAGGGCTTTCGAGTCACACCTCGACGTCGTCAACCCGCTGATGACGATCATCGTATTAGACGCAATTTTGATCCATCGGGTAAATGCGAAATTAGTTCGCGCGAAAGCATAGCTTATGAGCACCTTTTAATCGAGGAGGTCATCGTGAAAACGCGTGATTTTAGAAGGGCTTAGACTCGAAAAGTATTGTCAGTAATGAAAATACAGGTTTTGTTGAGCATTCATATGAGCAACTGGACGACGTCCAGCGTGATTTATGGAACTATTAATTAATTCGAGCTTCGAGAAAGACAAGAACGGAGGTGAAACTAGGTGACAAAGCGAGTATTTCGGATGCCCGCTGCGAATAACCTTTCGTCGATATCGCTCCGCATATGGAGCTGAACGGAACGAATCGAATGGGACTGGAATATCTGTCCCCGATTAATCATATTTACCTCTTAACCGACATGACACGTAGAGTCGTTATCTTCCTTTGCTAGTGTGATGCCTTAAATAGAACCGCCGTTCAAATAAAGCGATCTATAAAGCGGTTCCAAACAAGAAGATGGCGAAATGAAGTTACGACCTTCTCTTTAAATCCACTGCTGCCCACGTTCACGTCAATATAATTGTTTCTGCAGAACATTTCTTATTTCATCATATTTCATCATTCTTTTATCTGTCCGTATTTTTCATCCGTTAAAATCAACTCACTACTTTGCTAAATTTACTTGCAAGTAATAACGACAGAGATGTCTCGTATGAAAAAAAATAAATTCCCTTTATATCGCGCAATTCTTAGCATTTTTATCGTAGCAAGATTTCTCCGAAGAATTAATTGTTCTCTCGCAGATTAATGGATAGGCAATCAGTCTTCAATATTCGACCGGATTCGATGAATTTTACATTCCTTCGTGTAAGCAGGTCACGCTTGACGACGGTGAGTATCCGAGTTCAGTGGACGAAGAAGCAGCACGAGAGTGGTCCTCGCGATGGTCCGTTGGGTTCCATGAAACTTAGAACGTGTGTAAACATCAGCGGCATCTAGATGGAGATCTAGACGGAAAGAACAAGCATACAAACACATGCGAATGTTTTGTCGTTGCTTCCAATACGGCAGGCACGCTAACTTCGCGAGGTTCCGTGCCGAACGTCTTCTTCAGCGACACGGGTCAGGAACACTCGCCAGGTTTCACCGGACACGTACAATTCTCCACGTACGGCGGTAACCACGCATTCGAAAAATTTTCTCAAAATTCGCACAATCGACCCTCCTCCTAGATCTTCCTATTTGTCATCTTTGTTATTTCAAAAAAAAACTCTCTCTCTCTCTCTCGTTGAAAGTGTCTCGCGTGGTGTATCCACCGGTTGCGATAATATTAAATATTTGGGACCGCTCTCCGCTCTGGCGGTAAATTTAAAATTTAGAAAAAGCGACAGAACTCGCGGAGTTACCTGTCGATACGCGAGATAGGACCCGCATTGGTGATCTCGCTTGTATCCGCGGCCGGACTGACTCTGCGCGGCGGCAGAGCGGGAGGTGCGGCCTGGCCGGGGGCCTGACTCGAGGACGAGGTCGACACGGGCCCTCCGACGCCCACGTTGCCCCCACGTACCCCATCCTCGGCCGAGTGCTGTCTCGAGGACTGTGAATTCTGCGAGAGCCAGCGGCGCCCGGCATTCCGCGTCACCACCGTGGGCCCGACGGGCTGATGACCTATCGCGTTCCCACTGTCCAACGACGTGCTCTGTAACCGAAAATCCAAGGCCATCTTTCGTGGGCACGCAGAAGAGAAAATCCATGGGACGGGATTGAATCCGAGGACCACGCACACACACACACGCACGCGCGCACACGTCTCTGAGAGAAAATCGGTAAAAGTTTCAATTTGTTCTTAGGATTTTTTTTGCATCTTGCGATTTAACTAAGCGGTATTAAATTTTCATCCTCTCAATCATAATTTGCGATATCCGATTATTTTCCTAAAAAAGAAACATTCGTTCACCCTTCTGATATCCGAGAGACTTATTATCAGTGTGTATCCCTAGGATTAATTATCAGAAAAGATTTAAATGATATGATAGTACGCAAAAACTCGCTGTTAAGTAGCAATTAACATCCCTGCGTATTTTATATACAACGCTTTGTTCTCAATTTTCCAAGTGTTCCTTGAAAAAGAAAGAATCTCTAAAATCAGACATCTCCGACAGCTCCGTATATTACGTCACGGCGTGGGTAATAAAGTTTCCCTCTCGATTATTGTTGATTTCCCTTATTAACCACGACTCGTTAACGGACTGGCTGAGCCATGATCGTTATGAAATTGTGTCAATTGCCAAAGGGGCCGGTGCTAGGGCGCCATTATCGTTTACGTCGATCACGGACTAAACTCGCGTGGCCGTAAGAGCTACAAGAGCATGAGAAGCTGTGGCGCGGCTGTCTCTACTTCCAAATACGGTCGAAGCACGTACGAAGGCGACCGGCGAGTTGGCGCAACTCTCCACCGGTGTGTCGAAGAAAGTATTTTTATTCCCGTCCTGCCCAAGAGGAGAACTCGTCCGTACGGGCGATCTCCTCCTCCGTCCGCAGTGACTCGAACGTGCGTGTCCGTTGTTTTATTGACTTTTATTACTCCACGCAACCCAACAACACCCCATGTGATGCGCAGTCCGATTTTAGAATATCCGCGAGTCAATTTATTTACAATATATTGGAATACGATAGAAAACACGTTTGCGAACACATCCCAGACACGACGAATGGTTTCGCAAAGCGTATAAATAAAGCGTTGGACAAAAAGAAAAAAAAAAGAAAACCAAAGGTACCTCGATCGTCCGAGTTGCGACGCGATTAAGTAATGATAAATATAGCAACGATGTGTCGGACCGATGAAACAACAAAATTAAAAATCGATTAGATTTTAGAGATTGTAGAGATTGTGTTACATTCACGTGATTTTTCCTGGACGTAATGGACGAGTCTTGCGAGGACCCTCTTGCGTAATGCCGGGCGAAAACCTCGGCGAGTCTGGATCTTCCCGAACTCGTCGCATTTGACTTGGATTTATTTGGCGGCGAGCCATCGACGACGCCCGCCAAATTCGGATTGCTGCTCTTGCGCTCCGGAAACACTAAGTGTTCGATGTTCGGCGTGTATCCAGGATCACTTCTGACGATATCCTGAAGCGTCACGCGGCTGGGTCCGCCGTTACTGCAATGATTCAATCCGTAATTTTGTCAATTAATTATAGCCGTCAATGACGGTGAAATGCTGTACTTGAAGGACACGTAACAATTTATTCAGAAAATTTTTCAAATGATACACATCTTAATAAGATGAGCCTTCGGATTAAATTATTTAATTATTTAAAGAAATTTTAAATCTACTTTTATTCATATTTTATGAATGAATCTTTGATATACAAGTTTGTGAATTTTTTACCGACCTGGGTCCAAAGCCATGTGACTGTCTTTGTCCGCGTCTTTTCCCGCTGCCACGGCCAGGCTTGATGTTTGTCGCCTCGGCCAATTGCAGCAAACGGCTACGATGCTGCCGTAACAGCGGGTCCTCCCGGCGATTCATTCTATCCTGTGCACCTGGAATCGTGTCGCTCCTGCATCCTAAAATCGTCCAAGAAACGAAGAAAATTCATTTAACACACTTATTTTAATATTTTCATATAATGCGAGATATTTTTCGCACAATTACTTTATTCTTATTCCTGTAACACATTCGCTACTAGCATGTAATCCCTTGAGAGATTGATATCACATTGTGACTGATATCATTTAAAATTGTTTAGAATATAAAGCCTTTATAAGATTTAGAAGGATATAGAAAGTAGATTAGAGATTCATTATTTAGAATATTTGGTATGCTTCTTTATATTCTATAAGGAATTATTGAATTGCTGAAGAATTGCTGAATGTGCGTATCGATCACTTAAATCGTATCTCATCAATATTTTATATTATTACTCAATGAGAAATATTTAGTAATAAAAATATGAAACAAATGAAGAATAAGTAATACGAAGTTTAATAGATTATATCATATTTTGTACATGCTTTTAGAAAATCAGGTATAATTGGTGTAAATTTTCTATCAATTTGTATGTTGATAATAATATTATCAACATATCATGTAATTTTATTGAACATTTTTATATTTTTCATAAAAAAAAAATTTATTCTGGAGAATAATTCGTTTTGTACACACACATACACACACACACACACACACACACACACACATATTTTACACATATTTGTAATTATTATAAATTAAATCGATATTTTTATAAAATGTATCAAATTTTTTCAATTGTATTACATGCATATATACACATACATCAGTTTCCTATATCATTAAAAAATGATAATTACTGATAATTGAAAATAGTAAAACTAATAACTGATATATCCAATTTTATCTCAACTTTCTTTATTTTTTCTTTATTGTTATTTATTAATTATTAAATATTTAATTGAATAAATTATTAATAAAATATAAGTATTGGTTATCGATTCCTTTTATTAATTTAATTTTATATTATTATTATTAGTTATTTTCATTTAAAAATTTTATATTTTTCAAAGAAGAGGAAAAATATGATTTACATAAAATATACAGAGATCACGGTCACAGTTTAAATTATACTTTTGCAGCATATTTACAAAAGGACTTGTAAAAAATTAATTTCTTATTGAAAGATTGCAATGATATCTGAAATATCGAGCAATAAATTAGAATTAAATGGAAAATATAATAAAAAATAGCCTAAGTGCATATATTCGGCAACTTTCCTCTATGTACAATTATAACATATATTAAATAAAAATATTATATAAATGTAGCGAATTGATTTTCAGCAAGAGATTTCCAGATTTATAAATATGATATAAATATAAATATATTGACAGAAATTTGGAGAAGAGAATAGAATAGATTCTCAGAATAGAATAAAGAATTTAATATTGTAATAGAGCTAACAAATTAGCAAGAGGGCAAGAAAAAGTTAACGCATCTTGTTGTAACATTCTTATCAACGTAGAAAAAATGCAATGCGTTTGCCAAATATTAGGGCCAAAATTTTTAGAATAATGTTCACAATAGTTTAATGAAGTACGTCTTGCTTACAACGTACAGCTTTGCAAAAGAGGAAAAGCTTTTTATCATGCTTTCCGCAAGGATCGGCTGAGATCAGAAGAAAAATTTACCACGAGAACATACTGCTTGCCACTTTCCTATTCGTCTTCTCTCTTTATCTTTGACCGAGAAAGAAGATAAATATGAG